CCCCCCCCCCCCCCTTTTTTATAGATTTTTATTCAAATCCCCAAGAAAAAGGAATGAAAATCCACTCTATTTCATTTTGCAAGGTAGATCATCCATTCTTCCCACCCACTGTCTGTACCCGCTAACGCCTCTAGAGGGAGGCCCAAATCTACCGGTCGGAGCTGGAGGAACCTCCTCATTGCTGCTTTTTGGGTGAGGAGCAGGGCTGGGGCTCTGGACACCACCTCGGGGTGGGCTGATCCGGTATGGGGGAGTCCCACACTCCCTGCTGCCATCCCCCACGTCCTGGCTGCCAGCCCCTACCTGGGTCAGCGATGGTCACTGTGGTCTGGGGGTATCGGCCGATCTTGGCACCGTGCTTGGGATGGAAGAGGTCGATGGTGAACTGCTTGAGCTGGCAGTTGTGTAGGAGGGTATCTATTTCGGTCAGCTCCAGCAAGGGGACCTGCACCTCCTTTCGGGTCTCCCCAGGCTGGAAGACCAGGTCACCCTCTGTGACGATGTAGTCCTGGAAGAGAAGGAAGAGGTGCATGATTAGAGCCCGCAGCGTCCACAAGAAGGCTCACAGAGACCTTCCCCTCATCTCCCAGTGAATCCTCACTCGCCCCCCTCAGTGCCCACAGCTCAGGGGGCAGCCAGTACCCTCTGACTCAGGTACAGGTAGCCTCTCAGGTTCCTGAGGCACGGGGAGAAAAGGATGGAGGAGAATGTCCTCCCTGGTGCTAACCTCAAGCCCTGGGTCTCCCTTCTCCCAGCCACGTCCCCCTTTGAGCCTGACCAACTGCTCTTTTGCAGCCCCAGAGTGGGTTCCTTCCCACCCCTCTGTGCTCACCCATTCCTGCTTGCCAAGACCAGGAGCATCACCCTTACCCTGCCATTCTTGGCGGTGAGATCCCGGGTCCTGTAGGAGACTTGGGATTTCCCGTTTTCTATGATCTCCCGGAGGACAGGGATCTTGGCCACCTTATCAAAGCGGCTGTGGGAGTAGGCTGGCTGCAAGAAGGTGATGAGGCTGCTGGCTGGAAGGGGCAGGAGAGAAGGAATGTGTAGAGAAAATACATGAGGAATCACATTAGAAACACACAGGTGTCCTCCCTGAACAGAGTCCTATCACTCCTGGGTGTGAACTGTGTATGAAATATTACTTCATGAGAGACTTTACCCCTCCTGACTTGTGCTCCCTGCTCAAAACAACCAGACGGGAAGCAGAGGGAAACTGCTGGGGGACAGTCACCTGCCCCAACCACAGTGTAACAGCAAAGAGGTTTTACTTCATTCCAGTGACCTACGAACCGGAGCAGCAGAGGCCAGAACCTGGATCTGCCATGGAACTGGTAGCATCTAAACTTGTAATGGTCAAATGTTTGGGTCTCTGCCACCAGGGATGACGACCCTCCTTTGGATGCTTTAAAAAATGCACTAGTTTAGACCCAGGTGACTTAAGATAGGAGTCACCAAGCGAGTCTCTGGTCTGTCATCTGGGGGAGCTCAGATACACAGGCTGCACCTTCCTTAGAAACCACCCGAGTCCATCTGGACACGGGACACTCAAACACAAACGCTCTTCACCTTGTTCTTTGATGATGGTGATGTTGACAAGCCTGCGGCCAATGTCTGCGATGCCGGTGGGGACATCAATGGCCTCCACCTGCAGCTGCTTCTCATCGTCATCATCCTCCTTGATGAAGAGTGGGACACGGACATCCACCAGCTCCACAGACTCTTGAAACTCCACCATCCCATGAGCATCTGGAGGAAGGGGCAATGATGAGAGGTGGGAAATGGCCCCCCTGCTCAGCCAGGAGGCAGTGCTGGACTCTGCTCCCTACCTTGGTCTGAGGTCACAGTGTAATAACCCGGTGAAACCTTCAGTTCATTGAAAGCCTCATGGGAAACGTGCTTTTCCACCACTTTGATGATCTCTGGCTTGGCTGAGCGAGGGGCGGTGAGCACCGTGTCCACAATGGTGTGGTCCTGCCTGCAACCAGTGGGAAGAGAAAGCCCAGTAAGAGCTGAGGTTGCCCATCCCATACAGCAGCTGGAGGAGCTAGTGAGTATGTGGGGCGTTCAGTCACCCCACACGTGTGTGTGCAAAAAGAGGGAGAAGCAGCACAAGAGAAAGCTGCAAGTTCATCTTACCTTTTCCCAGAATTGGGCTGTAACCTGGGGTGGGGAAATAAAAAAAAACAACAACAACAAACTATCAGAGTGATTAACGCATTTGGGGAGACAAAGTTCTGCGTGAATCACAGCCCTGAGCAGGTCTGAGCTGCAGCAGCTGCCCTGCAGGTGCCAACCCATTCTGCAGAGCCCGTGGCCCCATCACATGTTCCCTCCTGCCTGGCTGCTCCCTCCACCCCTGGGTTTCCCAATGTGCTGAGGAACATGCCCGTGGGGGAGATCACATCTGGTCACAGCTGTGGGGAGGGGATAACACTCCCTGCTCAGGCCTGGCATCCCCAGACTCTTCCATCCTGCTCCAGGCACTCCTAACTTTGCACAGGGCTGAAACTTGTGAAGTCAGTGGGAATTTTCCCACTGGGCAGCATGTGACCAGGATTTGTCCCTGTCTGGAGGAGTCCCAGGTCCAAAGCCAGATGCAGCTGGGTGGGCCCTGCAGCCATGGGTGAGTGAAGCATCTTATTGGGCTTGAACTTGTACCGGGGATGTCTCACAGACCACGTTTCCTCCTGGCATCCCAGTTTTCATACCCCAGCCCTCAGGTCCACTCCCTCATCAGCGGGGCCCTGGGGGAACCCTGCCCTGCAGGAGGTCTCTCCCACCATTACTCACCTGAACTTGGTCTGCTGGAGCTTGTGGCAGCCGGGGATGTGCTTGAAAACGTCGTTCAGCTGCAAGGAGCAAGAGGGACTTTCACAACACATCCCTTCTGAACATGGATGTATTCAGCGAGCAGATGTTGCTGCCAGCAAACATGAGAGCCCTCTGGCCACCCCCGGGTCCTCCCAACTCTCCCTTCCACACCAGGCAGAGACCAACACGTGGTTTCTCTGCAGGACACAGCAAGAGGCTGCAAACTGGAGCCAAACAGGAGCTTCAGCCCACGTGCTCCGAAGCAAACCTCAAATCTCATCAATGTGATGCTTTGATAATTCTCACAATTGTGATCTTAAAATTCATACTTTCAGAAAGTGGAAAAATTGCTTCTTCCTTTCAAGAGCTGCCTGGGTTCACAGGGAAGGGGTGCTCCCTCTTCCCCAGCATCACAGACACCCCCTCAGTCCCACCCCAAATCCCCCTCGTGCCCAGGCTCTTACATTCTCCTCCACTTCCTTGCGCAGCTGCTCGCACTCCCGGGTGTCCGGCTTCACCAGGTTCTGCGTGAAAAGCCGTGTCAGCCTCAGAGACAGCCCGTAGGGAACTGGAAACAGAAATTCCCAAGTCAAACTCCTTCTTTCTTGGTCAGAGAAACAACCCAGCCAACAGCTGGGAGCATGGGGACACGCACGGTGCTTGGTGACCGGATCCTATATCGCTAGCACCAAACCCCACAGCACCAGCAGAGAAAAACCCTCTGAGAACTGGAGTGCTAACCAGGGAGCTCTCTCCCAGATCCAGCACAGGGAATGGTGCCCAGTGGTGGTTCTGGACAGATGAGGCAGTGAAATCAAGGTTTGGTCACTGGGCTAATGAGACTAAGACATCCACCACGTGGCCAGGCTGCCAGGAGGTCTCCAAGGCTACCACCTGTCCTGCTACAGGGCTGGACACAGGAATGGGCAACTCAGCTTCCCCCAGGATGGAAGCACATAAAGGAACATTCCCCCTTGCAATTGGGTTTGGAGGTGAAACCATGGTTGCTGCTGCTGGGGGCCACCACAAAGGGTTTGTGTCCTTTACGGCACCCAGACCATCTCCTCTATCTGCTGGTCCTCAGCTGTGACACTCACTGAGATCTTTGGGGTTGGCAGCAGCAAGAGGGGTTAAACTCTGCTTATGAACGTTGTTGTTGATCTTCCAACGGACGGTGTCCCGACCCTTGAGGGACCCACTGCGGACCATGGGGGTGTCCAGGTGGTCAGAGGACATGAGGCTGTGGCGAAGCATGTAGTGGTCCTCCTTGAAGCCAACAACGCGACCTGCAGAGCCAGGGGCAGTGTCAGAGTCTGGGCAGACTGGGACAACACCAAGCATCAACTTCCCAACACTGGAGACTTTGTTCTGGGGAATCTTTAGGGCTTCCACCACGCTAAGGGTGTTGGGATGTCGGGAGTGGAGTGGGGTGGAGAGAGCAAGGGGTGTCCATGAGTGGGGAGAGCAGGTCACACCAGCTAGGCATTACAAGGGACACTGGTCAGGGGAGAGCCAGCAGTGGGATTCCCAGTAGGGCACACCAGGGTGGAAGGGCAGGGAGGAGCAGTGGAGCAGCACCTCAAGGGCTCCTTGGCTCAGGCTCTCTGCTAGGAGCTTTTCCCCTGATCCACCTCCCCAGCTAAGAGAGGAGGAGGGACATTTATCCCGTCACCCACACCCCCCACACCTCCTTCTCCCCCCAGTTCCAAGGGCTGGTACCTCGTGCACAGCAGGGAAGCAGGGCCAGGCAACCCTAGAAAACAAAGGGCCAAAGACACAATCACTTTGCAGCCAAGAGCAAAAATCCCCATGTTTCCACCTGGGAGGTTTCACATTAGCAGGGGGGCGGTGGGCAGCAGTTGGAGGGGGCTCTGAAAGCTGGTTTTAGCCAGATATCCCTTCAGTGGGGGAAATCCCACAGCAACTTTTGTCAGCAACAGCGGAGGAGCTGGATACCACTGGGACCCAGTCCCTGCCAAACTGCCTGTGCTGATGGCTGGGTGGATTTTGGAAATTTGTCATGGTTTTGGCCTTTATCTGGCCCTCTCCCCAGGCTGGGGCAGTCAGCCAGGGCACTCACCTTGCAGCAGGCGCAGAACTTCCAGCAGAGCAGCAGCAGCAGCCCCAGAAGCAGGATGAGGAAGATGAGCAGCGGGATGAGCCAGAAGAAGTTCCCCGGCGGGCACTCTGCAAGTGACAACAACGTCACCCCTGGGCATCAGCCCCCTGTGTGGGGTATGCAGGGAGGGAGCAGGCAGGGACAGAGGGGAAAGGCTGGCCCACAGCTCTTTGAGGGATGGGGCAGCTCAGTTAAGCTCAGGAACTTCTCTCTTGGTGCTGCTCACAATGAAAAGTGCTGCTCAGGGAGAAGCATCCCAACTCTCTGCTCGCACCCAGCCACCCCAAAGGGCTATTCAACACCTCACTTCTCATCCTGCCCATGCTGGCGGTGAAAAGACACTGATCTCTAAAGGTACTGGTCTCCAAGGATGCTACTTTCTACCTTCTGCCAGTGTCACCCACTCCTGTCATGCAGGAAGGTGGGCAGGGAGGTACTGCCTGCAGATGACCCTGCCCAGGGACACATCCAAGGGACAAAGCAGGGATCAGAGGCATTGTGGAGCAGGTCACCGCTGATCCAGACCCCAGGCTGGACACCCCCTCCTCTTGGGTCCTTGCTCACCTTTTTTCTTCTGCACGCGGACAGTGGTGTTGGGGAGCACAGTGGGGTCTCCCTCCAGGGTGTAGTGGTATGTGCAGTCATCCTCCTCGTCCTGGAACGAGCAGTGCTCACTGGCCTCCTCTGCAGAGAAAAGGGACATCATTGCAAAGTCATCAGGACCAGGAAAAGCTTGAGGAGCAGTCCCACACACCACACACACCGGGTAGGACCCATGGGAGACACACTGCACATGTCTGCACCCAGCTCTGCTTCTCCCAGTACCTTTCTTCAGCTCTTCCACCATCTGGATCTGGAGGTGGCACTTGCTGCAGTTCCCTTTCATGCTGCCCGTTCCCCAGGCCTGGCAGCGAACGCAGTCCTGGATGCTCTGGCACACAGCCTGGAAGCCCTGGGCAGAGAGACAAGGTGGGATGGTCAGGAGACAGCCCCTGGGGAGCAAGGGAGGGCATCACCTCCAAAAGGCAGAGCTGGAGAGGGAACGCTGTGTCCTCAGCCTGGAGTCAGGGCAAGGTCAAAAAGGGGAATCTCTGAGACCAAGCAGCTAACGAGGGATTTATAAGCCCAGGAGCCCAGCACAGCCGGCTCCAAAACCTCTTACATCAACAGCCTGCATTTGAGCAGAGATTAGGATCTTCTCCAAGGGTTTTAGGTGGCCTTTCCAAAATATGACCCAGCCAGCTTTCTGCACTCCTGCTGTGGCATTAGCCCGTGTTTGTCGATTGGGAAACTGAGGCACCAGATCATGAAATGTTTGGGGTTTTTTTTCCAGTCTTGAGCCAAATCAGAACAAGCCAGGAGCTGAGCCTCAACCCTCTGTCCTTCACCAGTGTGCAGATAAACACAGAGACATTCAAGAGATGCTGCTGGTGAACTGGAGGGCAAGAAAGCCCATGGCTGCAAAGCAGCTCCCATACTAGCCCCTTGCTGGCCACTGAAGGCAGGACAGGCAAGACTAACCCCCTGCTCAGGATTTTGCTCCTGCCTGAGATATCCCTTCATCTCTGCTTTGCTTTCCTCTCTCCCGAATACTGCACGCGGGAAGAAGTGACAAACCCAGAGGGACCCCAGGCTGAACCTCACCAGGGAGTAGCTGATTTCGCAGGTGGAGCTGGTGTACAGCGAAGCCATGTCACAGATGCATCTGCCACATTCACACCTCCCATGGTTATTGCAAATGCCCTGGGAAAGAAGAGGTGACAGACGGTTGGACAAGATGATCTTTAAGGTCCCTTCCAACATAGAAGATTCTGTGATTCTGTGATCTGAGAGCAATCACAGGCAGCAGCACTGGGAGTCAGCAAGGTGCCAGCTCCCAGTGGCCCTGAGCCTCTGGTATCAGGGAAATTTGCTGCAGCCCTGTCTGGTCTGGTTGTCCATCGCCCAACCTACCCCTCGGCTGTCGATGCAGGTGTCGTTGCTCGTGGGACACTCACAGCCCGGACCCTCCCAGCCGCTCTGGCACACACACGCACCCTTGGAGCAGCGACCTCGATCTGCAAAGGCAAGAGGAGACATCACCCGTTACCCAGGGACCGGTGCCACACCGCTCCCATCCCTGTGTCCCTGCAGGCTGCCCAGGCTCTCCCCTTTTCTTTGGGGTGTAAAGGGGCTGCAAAAAGACTCCATGGCATCCTCCCTGCACATTTGCAAGCCCAGAGTCCCCTCAGCTCATCACCAGTGGCTCAGTCCCCACCATGCCAGCGCCACCAACCCATGGACAACCCACAGCCCGGCCCCCCCCAGCCGCTCTGGCACACACACGCACCCTTGGAGCAGCGACCTCGATCTGCAAAGGCAAGAGGAGACATCACCCGTTACCCAGGGACCGGTGCCACACCGCTCCCATCCCTGTGTCCCTGCAGGCTGCCCAGGCTCTCCCCTTTTCTTTGGGGTGTAAAGGGGCTGCAAAAAGACTCCATGGCATCCTCCCTGCACATTTGCAAGCCCAGAGTCCCCTCAGCTCATCACCAGTGGCTCAGTCCCCACCATGCCAGCGCCACCAACCCATGGACAACCCATGCCCTGTGCCCACCAGGATGGAGCAAGGCACAGCCTCATCCCACAACGGGGTGTGGGGGGATGCTGGGGGCGGCGGGGGTGCTCTCACCGTTGCAGAGGAAGCCGGAGGTGCGTGGGCACTGCAGGGCATCGTACTCGCAGAAGGGCCCGTCGAAGCGCTGTGTCAGGTCCTCGGAGTAGCACTGGCACTTCCCACACAGGCACTCGCCCCGGCCCGAGCAGGGCTCCACGTCCCCAGGGAGGATGCAGGCTTCGTTGTTGGGGGACGACGCCGGGGAGCAGTCGCACGTGTCCCCTCGCCTGGTGGGGGAGGAGATGGTGGTGAGAGAGGTTGGATCGGAGCGCAGGACAGCAGGGTGCTGGGCAGGATGGCCACGGCACAAGCGGGTGTCACTGTGGGTCCCCAAACCCAGCAGGAACCCAGGGAAGGGAAAGGAGCTAGGACAAGGGGTAATGGGTTCAAGTTGTGCCAGGGTAGGTTTAGACTGGACATCAGGAAACAATTCTTCACAGAGAGAGTGGTCGGGCATTGGAACAGGCTGCCCAGGGAGGGGGTTGAGTCACCATCCCTGGCTGTGTTTAAGAACCGTTTAGATGTGGTGTTGGGGGATATGGTGTAGGGGAGAACTTTAGAGTAGCGTGGATGGCTGGACTCAATGATCCCGAGGGTCTCTTCCAGCCTAGATAATTCTGTGATTCTGAGCTGGAGAAAGTCCTTACCAGCCTGGGTGGCAGATGCACTGTCCACAGGCAAAGTCCCCATGGAAGCTGCACTTGGGTGAGTTTACCTCTTTTTGCTGTAAGAGAAGCGAGAAGAGGTGTTGCTGAATGGGTCCAGCTGCCCCCAACACCATTTCAGGAATCTGAAAGGCGGATCTAGGGGCAAAGTTTTGCCCACAAGATTGAGCTCTGCCATGAAACATGCCCTGCTTGGTACAGGCAGTGATGGAGATCTCCTTGGCCAGGCTTGAACAACCACTGAGCAACAGTGAGGGGTTGAGTGGTACCCACGTGAGCTGGCCAATGCGTTCCTGCCCCAAGATGGCCAGGAGGAGGACATGTCTCTGCGAAATGGGTCCAGCTGCCCCCAACACCATTTCAGGAATCAGAAAGGCAGATCTAGGGGCAAAGTTTTGCCCACAAGACTGAGCCCAGCCATAGGACAACATGCCCTGCTTGGTACAGGCAGTGATGGAGATCTCCTTGGCCAGGCTTGAACAACCGCTGAGCAACAGTGAGGGGTTGAGTGGTACCCATGTGAACTGGCCAATGCGTTCCTACCCCAGGATGGCCAGGAGGAGGACATGTCTCTGCGGCACGTGCCCCCACATACCTGTTCACAAGGACACACGTCACAGATGACAGAGGCTGTGATTTTGAGGCTGTCGCTCAGGGACGTGGGTTTCAGGTGGATAACTCCCTGCCGGTCTTTCTCAGGGAGGCTGCAGACGTGCTGCCCTCCAACGTACTCAAGTGCCTTCACATGCACTTTGAACGTGCCCTGGAAGGAAGGGACATGCCGTAAGGGTGAGCCAGCTCTGCTGGGTCACAGCTCGGCCAGACTAGCTGAAGGTGGAAGAAGGAAGGAGGGATGCAGCGGAGGGCTCAGCCCCTCACACACACCTTCCCTCTGGGGCCATGCGAGGACTTACCACTTTCCCACGGCTGATGTAGAAGGAGCCAGATTCTGTCTTTTCGTACATTGAGGAGGTGAACTCTGTCTTTATGGCTTTGGGGATGAAATCTGCTCGGATATCCATCTTGGAGTGGATACGCTGGGTGGCAGAAGATAACCACAACATCAGTTTTCAGCAGGACGCTTGGAACCACCCCATGGCCTGCCGCAGAGGGGGTCACATCCTGCCTGCTTTCCTGGGCAGGAGGTGCCCACCCTCTGCCTTCCCCAGGAGCAAGCGTGAAGCCCCAGAGAGCACCGTTACCTCAAAGGCTGTGCGGAGCAGCTCCACGATGTTGGAAGAGTTCTCCTGGAGCACCCCGATCTCAGAGATGGGGAAATACTTGTGCAACTTCTGCAGAGAGACAGGAACTCCCTGAGAAACCTCCTCTAGCACTGAGGTGGGTTCTGATTTGATCAGATCTTGGACTGGAGACCTCCAAAGGTCCCTTCCAACCTAAATTACTTTTTGGCTCCACGTCCCCACTGCTTTACAAGAAACAGACACCAACACAGGGAGATCTCTAGGAGCCCAGATCCCTGCACCCTGAGATCTCCCATGACCCAGAGCAGCCCCCAACATGTGACAGCACCCTCCCAAAGCATCAGGGCACTGGTTTAGCACTTGGGGACCAGAGATGGGAGAACAATTTCTTGTCATAGCCAAGCTGCAGGGAGAGGAGAAATAGTCCTGGAGGAAAGGTAAGCCCACGTGACACCACCACCATGGTTTCCTCACCTCGTAGTAACTGTAGGAGTGGTTGGTGACAGCAAAGATGGGGATGATGTTGTGTTGGCCCAAGAGGCGCACCAAGGTGGGCACTGAAGGATAGTCCTGCTTGGTGTCATACACGTAGGTGCCTTTGCTGTCCAGGTGACACTGCTCATCATTTCGCGCCAGGATCCCTGCCAGGACGTTGGTACCATCAGCTTCATAGTGAAAGGCAGATTCGGTGGAGAACACGAGCAGGTGAGTGCTGTCCTTCCTCCAGCCGATCTTATCCTACAGCCAGGAAGGGAGGAGAAGGAACCTTTATCTCTGTGCCCACCAAACCACTGCACAGCACTTGCAGCCCTTGCCAGGCCAGCACTGACAGGAGTTGGAAGCCCAAGGGGCAAGGCACCACCTACACTTGGCAGCAGACACAAGCAGCCCTGGGAATCCGAGCCACCAGGTCTCTGCTTCCCCTGTTCACCCCCCCAATGCATAGGATGTCTCCCAGCAGCTCGGTGCCAAATATATATATGGAGAGAGGGCAAGCCCACACTTTTCTAGACGTGTTTGGAGCCGTGCTCATCCCTCAGCCAAATGGCCAAGCCCAAGCAGGCAGTTTTCCAGGGAGCAGAGTTTCACCACTGCAGGCACGAAGAGGAACAGAGCAGAGAGCTCTCATCAGCTGCCCACCATGCTGCTCTTTTGCTCCTCACCCAGTATCAAGAAGATCCACTCATTAAAACAGAGCCCTGCCCACACAGCTCCTGCATCCCTGGCCACCTTCACCTTACAAACAGCTGTCTGCAGGATGGCATCAAAGCCACCCTCAGGGGCATCCAGGTTGCCAGAGATGCGCTCTTTCCTGAGCTCCTGGCTGAAATGGTTGATGTTGTTGGTCAGGCGGATGACGTTCTTGAAGGAGAAGGGGGAGTCGGCGTTGTTCCAGGGCTCACGCAGCCTAGAAGAGAAGGGGACAGCAGGGTTTTGCGGGGGACAGGAGAAAAAGGATGAAGGGACACCTGGATGCTCTCCCCACACTTCCTCTCCTTGCACCCAAGGGAAGACAAGAAGCTGAGTTGGCAAGCCATCAGCACTGAGAGGTAGAAGGGACGAGGGCAGAGATGGAGGAGAAGACAAGACATGCAATCTGTCACGGCAGTGCAGGAAAGGTCTGAAAGCTGAGGAGGACGCCGCTGGCATTGGCATGGTGCTACAGCAGGCCCTGAGCACAGGGTATGGAGGCCAGGGGGGACATCCACAATGGAGGGAGAGAGACGGAAGGAGGCTCTTGCACCACAGATGAAGAAGATCAGGAAAGCTATAGAGAAACAGAAGGTGCCCGCTCTCCTCTCTGCTCCCATCCCAGGGACCCATTGGCCTCACTCACTTCTCTGGTCTCATGTCTGTCTGAGGGGATGAGACTTTGTCCACAAACTTGCCGAATCCGACGGTATAATCAGAGGTGAATTCTTGCAGGAACTTTGCTGGGAGGAGAGGAAAGGAGGGAGGAGGAGACACGTGAATAAAGATGTCTGTGAGGTCACTGCTCCAGGGAAAGAAGTCCTTTCCTGGGCATCTTCTCTGCTGGTCAGGTTTTAGATAAAACTCCTAAATTGCCAGCTTTTAAGCTCTTTGGGCTCAGGGCTTGTCTTTTGGAGTAGAAACCTATACCACCTCCGGCAGCCCCTTTCCAAGGCTGGAGCTTGTGCAACAGCACACCCCACACCTATAGGTTCAAGATGCCAAAACCACTGCACATCAGCTCTGCTGGTCCCAGGCCCCACGCCGGGCTGAGAGAGGACACATTGACGATCCCTGCAGGGCCAGGAGAGACATCCCCCCAGAAGCTGCACAAAGCAACAATAATATATAATAATATAATATAATATATAATATAAATGCCCAGGGAGGTGGTTGAGTCACCATCCCCGGATGTGTTTAAGGGACGTTTAGATGCAGTACTGAGGGATATGGTGTAGAGGAGGACTTTGTATAGTAGGGTAGATGGTTGGACTCGATGATCCCAAGGGTCTCTTCCAACCTGAATGATTCTATGATTCTAATAAGAAACTCTAATTAAAACAGACACCTCTCAGCCCTTTGCCAGTTGTATCCCTTTCTCTGGTGCTGGCAGAAAACTCATAGCCACGGGCAGGACTGAGCTGCCTGCCCCCATCAGCACAGGAGGTGGCTCCCCTCTTTTCCCAGCTCTGGTCTCACCTAGTTTTTGGCCCATGCTTTTGAGGTTGTCCAGATCATCAGACATAGAGTAGGAGAAGTCCATGAGGATGTAGAGATCCACAGGGCTCTTCAAAGGCTGGAAGACATCCATGTCGAAGCTCATCTCCTCCCCAGCTCGCAGCCGCATCAGCATGCTCTGGGGGGACACCTGGGTCCTCTGCAGGGACGTGTTGATACTGAAATTCTGTGAAGGAAGAGTGATGTGAAGGGACTCCATCTCCAGTGCAGACACAATGAGGAGGAGGCAAGAAGCAGGGAGATACATGGGAAGTGGAAAGGCGGGGATGATCACGCTCCCATCCCTCATGTACAGCCAGGAACTGAGGCAGCCTCCCCCATGTCCACACGCGCCCAGCTGGGCACCTCCTCCAGACCTTGGCATTTTGTTTACATCTATTTTGCCTGAAAAGCCACCCCAGCCCTAAGTGATTATGGCTGGTTGCCAGCAGGTCCATCAGCTTGCGAAGGCAGAACATTGTTTTTCAGTAGACCCCACAGAAACTGAAGTCTGGACTTTGTATTTTTCCTGCTAAAGACTCTAGAGGAGGATGAAGGATGTGAAGGACACTGGGGATGGTGGGACCCCTCAGAAGCAGCTGAGCAAGGGCTGTGTCCTCAGCACCCACCTGCAGGGTCTGCATCTCGCCCCTGGTGTAGACGATGCTGCTCTCCCCACAGCCATACAGCAGCAAGTTCTCCCGCAAGTCACACCGAGGCTCTTCAAAGCTCTGCCAAGGGGGTGAGAACATCATTACAACCACACAAAGCAGGAAATTCTCCACGCCGGGAGGAAAGGCTCTTGTCAGGGTCCTCTTCTGAGGCCATTAGCAAAGCTTTGGGAGCAGGAGTGGAGCAGAGATGGGGACAAGTCTTGCACAGAAGAGCCAATGTCACCCAGCACCAGGGAAATACAACCACCAGTGAATTACTGGCTTGTCTGGGATAAGACTTTCCCTCCATCCCTTGCACATGCTGTTTCAGATCTGGCACACTGGTATTTTCTGATAAACCCCTGCATTCCTGCAAATTTGCCCCGGACTCCCCTTCCTTCCCATTTGTCCACATCAAAGGAAACGTACGTTTTGGCGCTTCCCATCCAGACCAGCTCTTTGCAGGGAGAAGCTGGAGCCAGAAGCTGACCCTGCTCTTGAGCACCTCTCTCAGCTTTCACCAGGGGTGAAAGAGAGTAGATTTAGATGAGATATTAGGAAGAAATTCTTTACTCTGAGGGTGGTGAGAGACTGTCCCAGGTTGCCCAGAGAAGCTGTGGATGCCCCATCACTGGAGGTGTTCAAGGCCAGGTTGGATGGGGCTTTGAGCAACCTGGTCTGGTGGGAGGTGTCCCTGCCCAGGGCAGGGGGTTGGAACTAGATGATCTATAAGGTTCCTTCCAACTCTAACCATTTTATGATCCCTCCATCATCAGGGTGGGAAGTAGAGCACTGGTCTCCCCTGCAAGGTTCTCACCTCATCGGTGCAGAAGGAGCAGTCCTTGTCTACTCGGATGCACTCGGTGCAGCTCTTTGCCCGGGACAGCACGCAGCGGTTATCTACCAGGAAAGATCGGGGCATCAGGAATGGATAAAAAAAATTGAGCTATAGGAGGGCATGAGAAAAGCTGATCCCACTCCTGGGGGAGTTGGTGGAGGTTTTGCCTGGGTGATTAGTAGAAGGTGGCTACAAAAGAGCAGTAGGGTAGCAAGAGAAGGGTCTCAAATACCAGGGTGACAGAAAATAGAGGAAAAGTACACAACAGATCTTATCCACATGTGGACTGGCATTTCTGGAGCCAAGGAGAGGTGCACACAGTCCCTACGGGGCAGCACCAAGGGAAGACCACAGACAGACCTACCGCGCTGCACTCACTTTTGCTCCTTTGGCAGAGGCTGGTGGCACAGAGCAGGGACAGGAGGAGCAGCCTGGCGCACACCCGTGGCAGGACGTCCATCCTCTTCCTCCTGAAACACATGGATCGCTACGTTGTGGAGAGCTGAGAGACAGATATGGTCCCGGAGACGATCAGGACAGCTCCAGCAGAGCCCGTCCAGCCCCACTGAAATGGGACAGCCCTGCCCGCCCAGGGGAAGCCAATGCCTGGAAGCAATCTTTGATCTCAGCAGGGTAGGGCACAAAAGCAAAAGCAAGAGCCGCTTGTCCTCTGCTTGGGCATGTGCCGAAGGCTCAAAGTCCCTGGCAAATGCCGGGGCAGGGCAGTTGCCACGCCATAGCACGCCTGTGCCTGGAGCCAGGGTGCCCGGGGCAGTGGGGTTGGTGCAGGCAGCCAAAGCCTGGGCTGCTCCTGGCCAGAGCCCAGCACCATCCACACGTGAGAACACCAACTAGGTCAAGACCTTGCTTTTCCTGGCAGGTTAAGGGAAAAAGAAGAGAGGAAAACAAAGCAACTGTCTACATCTCTCCCCAAAAACAAAACAGACCCCTCCCTTCAGCTATTTCCTATTGCACTAAGAGTTTCCAGGATGGTTGAACCAACAATAAATAGAGGGTGAGGCCTTGGGAAATGCCAGGCTTTGAGGTTTGAAGCTGTTGAATGAATCCGTGGTCTTGAGAGCCCAGCAGCTCCCCTCTGTCCTGTCCAGGGCAGCAGGACCCCTCATGTGCATCCAGAGGCCAAATCCTAAACAGAGTGAACCATTGTCCCTGCACCCACACGTGATTTATTAGCTGCTCATTCGAAAACTGCAAGTGCCACCCAGAAGTCAGCATTTGGACATGGTAAACAGAAGAGACAAAGCTGGAACTCGAGCTGTGGCTGCTGTGCTGGGGGGTGAGCCCTGACCCCAGCACCCCAGCAGGGCAAGTGAGGACAGTTGAGGCAAAAAATGTGGTGTAGACATCTTCAAAGCATGTCTTTTCCAAAAGATGGAAGTGTGAAATACAAGATGCAAATGAATTGTCTTATAGCTTCTTGCTGTCCAAGTCCTGACTCTAAACTAAGAGAATGTGAAAACCACTTGAAACTGGGAAGGAAAAGGAGTTGTTGCGTGCAGTGAAGATGTCTGAGCAGTCCAAGTCCTGACTCTAAACTAAATTAAGAGAATGTGAAAACCACTTGAAACTGGGAAGGAAAAGGAGAGTAGTTGCTGTGTGCAGTGAAGATGTCTGAGCTCCCAGAGGGACATCAAGCACACACACCTGCCCATTGGTGACTTAGCTACTAATGGCCTGAGCTGGGGCCCAGGGAAATCCCTGGAAAAACCCACTCTAGTATTAACAGTGCTGGATCACACTGTATCCTGCATCAGAATGGAGCAATGGAAATACGTTGAACACACAAAGCTGAGCACTCACAGAAATCATTGCAGCTCAGGGCTCCAAACAACAGAGCACCAACACCAGGGGACATCTCCCTTGGTGTTCGCACTCTGTGACGCTCGCTGGATATACAGGTAACACACCTCAGGATGTTCATATCTCAGTTATCTTGTCTCTGTGACTCAGAGAGATTTATCGCACAGTGATTAATCCTCCATTGCTGAAACATGAGAAATATGGGAACCCAGGGGCAGCATCTCTGCGGGGGACACCCAGGGAAGCTTTGCAGTTCATAAAGACCTGGTAGCCAATATGCTGCTTTTTTTATGGGTAAAAGGTACTGGTTGACCAAGGAAATCCATGTGTTTTGCTCCTGTAGCCCCTGACCACAGCTCTCTGCAACACTGACCATCCCTAGCTCAGGGTCTTCACAGCTTTGTCTTAGGGGGTCCCCCAGCCAAAGCCCAGTGCTGGCTCTGAGGCCAGCAATTTTTCTTGTCCCTGGACATGTCCGTGATCTCCTCCAGCAAAAGTCCTCATGCCACTTGTTTGCAAATGCTGTGTCCCTCACCACTGAGATGGGTGGGTTTTGAAGTCAGGAAAATCCCTTTTTCCCTCGCTCCGCCTCAGCGAGCCGCGCCAACCACAGCGACCGGCGCTACAGAGACATGGGGAGATGCCAATTAGAGATGAGATGAAAGGATGGGGAAGCCCTTTGAGCCCGTTAAGGGACAAAACAAGGAAAGAATTCCCCTGAGCACTCGGCAAATCCCATCTCCCATCATGGCAAAGGCCAGAAGGAAAAGATCGAATACCAGGGACTGGATTGCTCAGCTCTCACGCCCATCTTACGCGGTAGCCTCAGAGCACGGAGATAATTAATCTTTCTTTAATCTCAAGTCAAGAAAGAGCGAACAAACAGATGGACCGACACACCCTGGGCCTTGGACACATAAACCGCCATCATGTCTTTTCAAGCGCTGAGATAAAAGGCCATAAAACTCAGCCTGATACTAAAGTCATCTTGCCCCGTGAGCCACCCACCTCCAAGAATTCTGCTGTGCAGTAGTCAGTGTGCAGGGCACTGGTGGCCCAGAGCATTGCCGCTGCTGGCCACAGGAATGCAGCCCATAATAGTTGTGCAAAAGTGTCCTCTGGGAGGGAGAATGCCACTTTCACTTCAGAAAAGCTGCAGGGGTTCGGTTGGATTTTCATTATGACGACGACGACAACAAAAGCTGTTCAGTTGTGCAGAACCAAGGAGCGGAGCAGCTCCTGGCTGCACACAAACATCCCACCCTACCCCAAACCACCACTCTGGCATTTCCTCCTGGTCTCCTCCCTCTTCCCCAGCCTTTGCCTGCACCTTGGCACAAGCCAGCAAGCCTGCTCCAGAAAGACCCAAGGACCCACCGAGCTTGGAGAAGCCTGGTCTGGGTAGCTCATCCCTCCAAAACGGGGGATGCTCCAAAGAAACCACTGGATCAGTGAGCAGGGAACAGGGTTGGAGAGTCAGAGCTCTGTCACCCTGTCCCCTCCCCACCCTGCCCCAACCGCAGCAGCCCCATGCTGGGAAGGACCAGGCTGAAGCCAGGCATCGCCCTGGGGCGGGTGAGGAACCAAGGAGCCAGAATGATGATCAAGAAGCCCATGGTGGGACCCTGGTCCCAGCTGCCACACAGGGGACACCCAGCAGGCTGGGGACACAGGAGTGGAAAAGCCAGGGAGATGCTCAAGCTCCCAGCACAGCCTTTCCTCCCTCTGCAGAAGCCCCTCGTGTGGCTGCAGACCCCCACCCCATCCTGCCAAGGGGCACATCATGCACCCGTACGTGATGGAGCAGGGCACTGACACTCCGGTGGATGGGAGTCACATGGAGAAGCACCTACTTGCCCACATGTGCCAGGGACAACCACACGGGCAGGCTGTGCTGGTCACCATGATCAGCCTCAGCACGGGGCTGGAGGTCCCAGGGGAGAGCTAATAGTGATGGAGGCAAAGCAGAAAGCCCCCCGGGCAGTGCAGTGACACCCACGGCAGCTCGTGGAGGCTCAGTTCCCCTCCCAGGGCAGGGCTGTGGGCACATGGATCATGGCCACAACTCAGCTCCCTCCCTCCCCAGGCTACTCCCTCACCCCGGTACACGCAGCAGCACAGAGATCCCAGGGGCCATGCTCCAAAACTTGGAAGTTATCAAGCCAAACCTCCAGCGAACCATCAAAAGCTTCACCCACAAATCAAAGCATCACTTAAAACACGGAATTATATTTGTCTTTGATTTTCTTTCTCCTCCCCATCCATTTTCCCTCCTTCCCAGGTGTGCTCTTGCAGCCGGGAGGCTCCATGCGAGAGGCACCATTTGCTATTTCCAGCAAGAAGGGGGACCTCAACTCCCAGGCCGAGCTCCAGACCCCAGACACAGCTCCTGGTGTCTTCCAGCGAAGGATAAAACACAGTGGGACCCATCCCGGAGACCCCCATGGAGCTGCCGGGGCTGGAGAGTGGCCATCACCACCCTGTGCTGGCAAAGGACCAGTGGCTGCTCTCTCCTCTCTCTGCCCCCCGGGATCAGGCAGGGGGGAGTCCTAAGGGGTGGGCAGGAAGGTCAGGACCCCACCAAACACTAGCACATCCCCAGGACCCTCCCATCCCCTCTGCGCCTCCCCATGTGCTGTTCCTGGCACATTCCCTACTCCTTTGGCCCACGAGACACCTTTCCTCTCCCTCTCCCTCCAGAGGTGCTCCTCATCCCTTTTTCCCCCCCACAACCCACCCCTGCCAGTTCCCTCATGCAGCCCATCTATTTCCTACCCATCTCAGATCCACCAGCTCGCAAACCCCCTGACACCTGTGGGTCACCAAAGCCCATCTTGAACCCCTACTCCACCGTGGCCTTTTCCTCTAGGGAGGGAAATTCCCCAGTCAATAAAACCCCTTCCCCTGGCTCCCCCCTTGCAGGGGGCTTGCTTGCAAAACCACCCCCCCTGGGCTCAGCGAGCCGGAGCCACCAGCAGCTCGGCCAACCTCGGGTTGTTTCACCTATGAAAGCCTTCCCGGGGTGCCAGCTCCACGGCACAACCACCCTTCTCCCTGGAAGCAACAAGGACGGAGAAGGCAACCTTTGCAACCTGCCCCAAATGGTCCCCGCAGGGCTCTGTGCTCCTTATCCCACCTCCACCCCACGGCCCCCCACCCAAATACCTTCAGAGAGGAAAACGGCCCCACGCAGCCCTGCAGAGCCCTGCTTGGTCACCAGCACTGCCCTTCCCAGGCAGCCAAGAGGCACGAGACAGCGTCCAACACCCAAAACCAAAGGAAAAAAGGGGAAAGAAGCAGCCAAGGAGCTGAGCTCCCTCGCCCCGTGCCCTGCCTACCTGCTGGCGCAAGGAGCCCTGCACCTTGTTTCACCCTTCCCCCCCCCCACCACCACCAGTTAATCAACGCAGCGAAATTAAAGCAAGCTGGACGCTAAAGAGCACAGATGAATTAATTCCACAAACCTCATTAGTGCCGGGTCTGACTCGGTGTCCAAATCCTCTGCCACAGCCCGAATAACAGGCACCCACACACCCAGCCAAGAAATTCTTCCCAAGGCAGAGGGGGAACGCGCTGCTTCGCTGCTGCCACTTGATTTCCAGACTTGGCCTTTTCTTTCTTTCTTTTCTTTTTTTTTTTTTTTTTTTTTCCTCTCCCTCCTCTCTATTTTCTGTCCCTTTTCTCTTTCCGGTTAAACGTCAACTTCCAGTCCGGCGGGGAGGGCAGGCAGCCCGCGCTCCCACATACCTCCCCGCTGATTTCTGTTCCCTCCAGTCAAATATCAACTTTGTTCCCGCTCCTCTCGCCGTCCCGGAGCTGCTGCCTCTCCCTCCCGGGGGGGTGGAGGTGGGGGGGGGTGGCTGACAGCGAGGAAAGGTGGGAGCCACCGATAAATGAGATGGGATCCCAGGTGAGGACGAGCTTTATCCCAGGCGGGGAGGGAGGCGGGGGGTG